AGTGAAAAAATATCGTTAACCGGGGGTCCACTGTACAGTACTTTTGGGTGTCTTGCACGGATTAATTTGATTTCCACTATTTCTTATGGGGAAAATTAATTTGCCTTCCGATAATTTTGGCATACGATGAGCTCTCAGGAACGGATTAATATCGTATACCAGGGGTCCACTGTACTATGTAAATAATATACCCACTGGAGCAAAAACAAAATTCTCAAATAACACTTTTTCATAAGATAATGGCAGTACCCTCTTAGTGTCTGATAAGAGATTCAAAGGGTGCTGTGAATCTGATATAGAGTCACAAACAATGGTTAATAAACTGTCTGTCTTGGGGAAAATTGAAACATTGCTATTATTCAGATGAAACAGAATACAGTGGAACCTTGACTTACAAGTGTCCCAACATACGAGTTTTTTGAGATACAAGCCGTCAATCGGCTTGTATCTCAAAAAACTTCCCCCTCAACCCAAACCTGGACACCTCCCTTGTTTATCTATGATTTCATGCTTTAATTCCAGGGAAATCATCCTCTTTTTCTTATCAGCACTGTCCTTTACACTTACTTAGGTTAGAAAAGCGAAATTTGGCCAAACGACTGTAAAATTGTAAGCAAATCAGGAGAGAACTACTCCCACAACTAAGTAAACAGTGCACTGAGTTGGCTTCGTTCTGAAGCTCTCGTTATAATAATGTATTATTATTAATTTAGGAATTGAAGCTCTATCGTTATAAATTTTTTTTTATTATTTTTTTAGTATTACAGTGGACCCCCGCATAGCGACTTTAATCCGTGCAAGAGGGCTGATTGTTATGCGAAATGTTCGGTATGCGAATGAATTTTCCCCATAAGAAATAATGGAAATCAAATTAATCCGTGCAAGACACCCAAAAGTATGAAAAAAAAAATTTTACCACATGAAATATACATTTTCCTACACACACAGAGAAGTTCAATTATAGTGCATTCTTCCTCAAGGAACTCATTGCTGCAGATTCTGAGTGCGCGCAGGAAGAAGCCTATAATTACACCACGTTTAGTTCTGGTGTCGTGGTGAGAGTAGAAGATCGTTTTGGTTGGTTGGTTTCCTATAGACTTTAAAACGAAGTTCATGGTCAGTTATGCAGAGAAGAACATCAAGGAAAGGAAGTGTGTTGTTGACTTCTTCTTCAAGTGTGAACTGGATTGAGGGCTCGACCTGGTTGAGCTTGTCTTGGAGAGCTTGAACGTTGAAGCGCCTGGGAGTTATGAGGAGAATGTGATCAACATAATGGAGCCAGGTGACAGTCGAAGGAATAATGGTGGAGAAACGCTTGGCTTCTGAGTGGCGAGCCCATGGGTAGACCAAAAGTCTGTTGAAAGAGGCGATTTTCGAAAGAGAAACACGTAAAGCCGACACATAGTTCAACGAGGTCGATGAAATCGCTGGCTGGAATAGGAAGATCAAGTGAATCGTCAATTTTTCTGCGTAGGAGATCGATGGCTTGTGTTGTAGGTACTTTGGTGAATAGGGAAGTTACGTCAAGGCTGGAAAGTTACTTGTTCTTGATGTTGATGTTGCAAATGCGATTGAGAAGATCACCCGAGTGTTTGAGATGTGCTGGACTGATAGTGCCCAAGAGTTTGGAGAGGTGTTTTGTGAGAATTCCTGAGAGTTGGTGGGGAGCACTGCCTATTCCCGAAGATATGGGCCTCAAAGGGATACCAGGCTTGTGAGTTTTTGGTAGGCCGTACATTCTGGCAGGTCTGGGGTTGCTTGGTATGGTGTGCAGAAGTTTCTTCCCTTGTTCTGAGTTCCTCAGAATGCGGCGAGTCCTTTGAAGAAAAGTTTTAGTAAGGTTGTCCAGCCTCGACGTAACTTCCCTATTCACCAAAGTACCTACAACACAAGCCATCGATCTCCTACGCAGAAAAATTGACGATTCACTTGATCTTCCTATTCCAGCCAGCGATTTCATCGACCTCGTTGAACTATGTGTCGGCTTTACGTGTTTCTCTTTCGAAAATCGCCTCTTTCAACAGACTTTTGGTCTACCCATGGGCTCGCCACTTAGTGCCGTCCTGGCGAACTTATACATGGAACATCTGGAAGCTGAGCGTTTCTCCACCATTATTCCTTCGACTGTCACCTGGCTCCATTATGTTGATGACATTCTCCTCATAACTCCCAGGCGCTTCAACGTTCAAGCTCTCCAAGACAAGCTCAACCAGGTTGAGCTCTCAATCCAGTTCACACTTGAAGTCAACAACACTCTTCCTTTCCTTGATGTTCTTCTCTGCATAACTGACCATGAACTTCGTTTTAAAGTCTATCGAAAACCAACCAACCAAAACGATCTTCTCCACTTCTACTCTCACCACGACACCAAAACTAAACGTGGTGTAATTTTAGGCTTCTTCCTGCACGCACTCAGAATCTGCAGCAATGAGTTCCTTGAGGAAGAATGCACTATAATTGAACAAGTATTTTCTAAACTCCACTATCCTCGTCACTTCATCAGAGACTGCAGACGGCAGGCATTGAACATCTTCAACACACCCAGAGAAGACACTGCCGAGAAGAGATACATAGTCCTCCCCACCAACTCCATTGCCAAACATTTTTCCAACATCTTTTCCAAAGCATCATTCCAAGTATCTACCTCCACAACCACGACCATCAAGGACATCACCAGTAGTAGACAGGACAAGCTTCCATCCTCTGCAGGGGTATACATAATCTCTTGTAATGACTGCAACAAATTATACGTGGGCGAAACATCAAGAAACCTCCAAACACGTATTTCAGAACACCAATACGCAAGCAGGACTGACGATACAAGGAATGCCTGTGTACAACATCGCAATTCACACAACCATTTAATCAACTACAGAAACTCAAGACTTATCGCCACAAAAGACAACACTCAATACCGAAGAATCCTGGAATCATCGCTTATCTCTATAATCAACAATTTCAACCAGAACAATGGCTTCTATAACATAGCTGAACCACTTGCCAAGAAACTTCATCGCTATCCCACATAAGAACATAGAACACTGCAGAAGGTCTACTCACAACTTGTCCAATACCCCTGCCAAGCTACCCAAGAGTCTATAACCCCACCCAGTGGATCCTCAGATGCAGCATTCTCCACCTGACCTCAACATTCTGACTATAAATACTCCCGTACCTTCCAACCCAGGTAGATCTGTCTGTGACTTGAAAAAACCCACTGTGTGGGCGAAACGTTGTCAATAAAGGATCACATTAAACTGCATATGTGTTTATGTTTCCATTTTGTCCCAGGATGCAATCCGCACCAGTCGACTAACACTCAGGTACCCATTTTAAACTGATGGGTGAACAGGGACAGGGACAGCGGGTGTCTTATGGAAACACATCCCTAATCTAATGTTTTCCAGCCATACCGGAGGAGATTTGAACCCCGGACCTCAGTGTGTGAGCCGAGTGTGCTAGTGATCGAGCTAGCCCAAAATAAGATAAGATGTACCCTGGTAATGGGTACAAGGAAACATTTAGGCCAGGATGAATTGCAAAAACATGAATTATTATTATAATAAAAAAGAAGCACTTAACCTACAAGGGTCGTACAGCAGACACAACAACACGAAACATTAAAGTGGTGGACAGACCAACAGTTGAAGCTAAGCAAACTCCTAATAAAGAATGTGCAGATTATCTTACCCCAAATTTTGAAAGCCATAATTCTGCAGTACTCAAACCAAACCTGCACACAAAAATCACTCCATACGAAAGCAAGACTCAGCAGTAGATGCAACATTTCCCCGATGAAAAGCAGGGATGCCACAAGTACACTGAAAGACAACACAATAAGTGTCCAGGACCCAAGACTGTTCAATTGCCTCCCAGCATACATAAGGGGGATTATCAATAGACCCCTGGCTGTCTTCAAGAAGGCACTGGACAGGCACGTAAAGTCAGTACCTGGCCAAGTGAGCTGTAGTTCATACGTCAGCTTGTGTGCGGCCAGCAGTAACAGCCTGGTTGATCAGACCCTGATCCACCATGAGGCGTGATCTCGGATCGGGCTGCAGGGGGTGCCGACCCCCGAAACCCTCTCCAGGTAAACTCCAGGTAAACCCATCATGTGCAGTGGCAGACCATTTGGCTTACAAGCAAAAAGGTTGGCATTCAATCCCAGTATACTTGCCATCTCTATTTACCTAACCATGAATAGGTACCAAAGATTTACTCAGGAGCTTCAACAGGTTAAAAATCCGAACAAAAAAATTAACATTTTTATTTACAATGGTCATGAGAACATAGATATTAGCACTCACATATGTATTACAATATGTTGATTTACCTTAGGATGAATCAACAAAGTTAAATGATATGAATTTTTTTCCATTATATTAATCCATCAAAAAATGAGGAATCAGGGACTGTAATGAAAAAAAGTCTAGCAAGTTTGTTCAGTTATACACAAATACTGAAATGCCCCGGCATGATAGTGGCTTTCTTTGTACTTATCAAACCAAAATTGTAATTCACACTGTAACCTTTACAAAGAAATAAACCTTTATCTTTATTATCATACACGCAGCATATGTGTAGAGACCTAGTGTAACCTAAATAAAATCAGTGATTTATTTCCATAGGGGTCACTTTTTTTTTGAGGGGGGGGGCTATTATCCTAAGCAATTTTCACGTTACTATGCAAGACGATTACAATAATTAAAAAAACTGTGCAAAACTGTGCCTAAATAAAGTTACTTACACATTAAAATAAACATTTTTTTCTGGAAATTGCCCATCTGTTGTGCTTCATCTTTCTATTTCTGCTACCCCTAGCCATAATACTGACAAATCTATTAACAGTCAAAGGCAAAAGAAACAAATTTAAGTTTTGCAAAACTCATTTGGCTTAAACACACGTGAAAATCTTCAAAATACAATATTTTTAACGTTTGCACTTTTTTTTCTTTTAAATCCCCCAGATGAAACTAGTTGTAATACACATTACTTCTTACCTGTGAGAGCTATGACAACCTGCTGGGCCATTTCTGTTTGATGAACTCATATTTTCCTATACATGGTAAAGTGTTTATCTCAAACAAGTAGTAAGCTCATTATGAGCGCACAAGCTCAAGCTTACTCATCATTAATATTCAGACAGCAAACACTGCCAACGAACACTCTGCCCAGATTCTTGGATCAGCCTCTTAACACACGCTAGAGCACAAAGTTGGCAACGACCACATTCTGGCTTATTTATTTATTTATTTAGTAATTTAAGCATACATACAGAGGTACAAAAAATACAGGTAAGAGCAGCATGCCAAAGCCACTTATATGCATAGCATTACGGGCTGGCTTAAAATTAACTTAAGATTAACTAAGCAATGAATTACAGAAAATATCTACCTGGATGAGGACTAACAAACTTACACTAAACATTGACAAAACCTACTTCATTCAGTTTGGTAGCAGAGCTACAGATGTACCTCTTAACATAACGATAAACGGATCACCTATCACAAAGCTAACAGAGGGAAAATTCTTAGGAATCCACCTCGATAACAGACTCAAATTTCATACACATATACAACAAATTTCTAAGAAAATTTTCAAGACTGTAGGCATACTATCGAAGATACGGTACTATGTTCCACAGTCAGCCCTCCTGGCCCTTTATCACTCTCTTATTTACCCCTATCTCACCTATGGAATTTGTGCATGGGGCTCAACAACAACTAACCATCTCAGACCACTAATTACCCAACAAAAGGCTGCAGTTAGAATGATAACAAATTTTCTCTACAGGCAGCACACTCCACCAATATTCAAAACACTCAACCTACTCACCATACAAAACATCCATACTTATTATTGCACTTATTACATACATAGAACACTTAACTCTGATATTAACCCTCCCCTCAAACATCTCCTTGCCAACCTCAACAGAACACATGACCATAATACAAGGCACAGATCACTCTTTGATGTTCCTCGTGTCCATCTCACGCTATGCAAAAACTCAATGCACATAAAAGGCCCTAAAATCTGGAATTCATTACCTGTAAATATAAAAGAAACACTACCTGTTTATAAATTCAAGTCTCTTCTCAAAGTTCACTTACTCACTCAAAACCGGCCTCAGACCTCGTCTTTGTTACAGGCACTTCGATGCTCGTTCAGGCGGACCGCAAGATCTCTTCCTGAACGAGCATCGAAGTGCCTGTAACAGAGACGATTTAAGGTACGCCTGTGTCCTCCATAAAGACTCCACGGGGCATTTGATGAACTGGGATGAGGCACAACTCGTTCTCACCGAACCAGACTTCAGACGCCGACGGTGCCTAGAAGCCTCGCCAATCGCCGTCACCGACACAATAGAAGGTAACACTGGAAACCACAAAATTTCTAAAACATTAGTATACATGATACTCAAGCAGGCTAAGCACCACCAACCCAGCAACACAGGAGTCACATGATATCATCGTCTACCTGTCCTCATCCCAACATGGCATTCTTCAGGTCACCATGCGTACCTGAAATAAGTACATGGAAATAAGTCACTCTGACTTTTTTGGGTTATCCTAGGTTCTCTACACATATGCTGCTGTGTATGATAATCTATGTAACCGTATTTGTGTATACCTGAATAAACTTACTTACATACTCACACCTCACTCTCCGCCTGTATATAATGTCTTTCTACTTCTGTATGTTAGAAGTGATCAAGGTCCCAGGACCGAACTTTTTCTAATAAATATGTCATAGTGTTTGCTTACGTGTCTTTCTAAACCAACTTGTCGGTATTTATTACCAAGGTTTATACCAGTCAAAAGATTAGAGATACAAAGTGGGTCCAGAGACTGGGCCCCAAAGTTTTGACAGCTGAGCAAGACAGCCCCACTGAAAGGGATTTTGTCTTCCCGTGTGGGAACATAGCCACTAACGTGTCTAGTGATTTAGTTGCATGATGAGTATAGCCACCAGCTCTTCGACCACCATCAGAGATCACTATCGTACCCATAAACTCCAATTCATTAGTGTGTGATTCACTGGCGTTTTCATGACCATATAAAGTGGGGAGAGTCCAAGACTGTAATCAAAGAAACTAATCGATAGGGAAGATATTGCCTTAAATCAGCAATGATTGTCTGAGGCTTGGATTCTGTATACTGGAGAGATAATAATAATCTTTATTTACTACAAGTACATGTACATGGTATACAGTCCTAGCTGACAACAATGACATACTACTACATAGAAAGCCACTTGTTATGCTGAGCATCTCGGGCAAATTAGGTCAGTGTCCCAGGATGCGACCCACACCAGTCGACTAACACCCAGGTACCCATTTTACTGATGGGGAACATAGACAACAGGTGGAAAGAAACACGCCCAATGTTTCTACTCTGGCTGGGAATCGAACCCAAGCCCTCGCCGTGTGAAGCGAGAGCGTTAACCACCAGGCCACCAATCTTGGTACAAAGAATTCTACAACAGAAATCGTACACCAAATCCAGTCATTCCTGGAGTGGAACCACAGTCGATGGCCTCCACTCCAAACCAACAGATACAGATACTAATGCCGGAAAAAAAATCCCCCCCAGTACCAACAATACCACCAGTCCGATAACATTCTTCTTTGCAAATATACAGGGTCTAAAGCCAGCAACAAACAACAAAATACCTTTCATCCGTGGACTGCTTGCAGAGGCAAAGGCAATGTTCGCGGCTTTCACTGAGACCCACATAAAGGATCACTTGGAAAACGAAATATGGATCCCAGGTTACAACCTAAAAAGATGTGACAGAGTGAACAGGCAGGAAGGGGGGGGGGGGGTTGGCCTGTACATTGCAGAGTCACTTGTTTGCACAGAACTGCTAAATGCCTCAAATGATGTAGTGAAGTTTTAGCAGTAAAGGTCGAGAACCAAAACCCTAGTCATTGTGATAGTCTACAAGCCTCCGGATGCAACATCCCAGCAATTCCAGGAACGTGTTAAAAATTGACCACTTTTCTGGAAACCTTCCAGCTCCTGCACCCAACTCTTCCTCCTGGGGGATTTAAAACTTAAGGCACCTAAATGGAGGAATATAGCAAATAATATTGTTGCAGTAATAACACCAGGAGGCAGCTCTGATGAAAAACTCACACTCACGCGAGCTTTTAAATCTCTGCACAAAATTTCAATTTAAACCAGCAAATAATGAGCCTACTAGACTGGAGAATACTAGACCTCATCTTCACTAACAATGTGATCTGATAAGAAATATCACCAATCAAAAACAATATACTCAGATCAAAACATAATTGAGGTTCAGTCATGTATGGGGCCCGGGGCCCCAGACCCACATAATGAGATTAGTCCCCGAGGGAAGCATTCACCAAATTCAACTTCATAACAAAAACATAAAATGGAACCAAGTAAACCAAGTCCTAACCGATATAACTGGGAAGATATACTAAGCAACACAGACCCCAACTTAGCCTAGAACAGATTAACTCGGTGGCACTGATGTATGCACAAGGCTTATTCCTCTAAGAAAAAGGAGGGGTAGATGTAAAACAGAAAGAGACGGCGCTCCCTTTACAGGCGACGGAAAAGAATAACAGAGCGGCCTAAAAGAGGTCAATATATCTGAAATGCGTAGGGAGACATGGTCAGAGAAATAGCAAGCATCGAACTTAAGCTTAAAGAATCCTTTAGGAGTTCAGGAATCGCGGGAAGAACTAAAAGCCATAAATGAAATCGAAAGAAACCCAAAGTATTTTTCTCCTAGCCAAATCAAAATCGAGAACAACGTCCCGTATTGGGCCCCTACTTAAAAAAGATGGGGCCTACACAGATGACAGCAAAGGGAAATGAGTGAGCTACTCAAGTCCCAATGACTCAGTTTTTAGCAAGCCGCTAACCAGACTGAGAGTCGAAGATCAAAATGAAAATTTTTTTTGAGAGAGCCACAAAATTTGATTAACACAAGCCCATCCGATGTTATCCTGACGCCAAATGACTTCGAAAAAGGCGATAAATGACATGCCCCTGCACTCTACCCCAGGGGCCCCGACTCATGGAACTCTGTGTTCATCAAGAACTGCAAGAAGCCCTATCACGAGCCTTTTCCATCCTATGGAGAGGGAGCAAAGGACACGGGGGGGCGTCCCACAGTTACTAAAAACAACAGACATAGCCCCACTCCACAAAGGGGGCAGTAAAGCAACAGCAAAGAACTACAGACCAATAGCACTAACATCCCATATCATAAAAATCTTTGAAAGGGTCCTAAGAAGCAAGATCACCACGCATCTAGAAACCCATCAGTTACACAACCCAGGGCAACATGGGTTTTAGAACAGGTCGCTCCTTTTCTGTCTCAACTATTGGACCACTACGACAAGGTCCTAAATGCACTAGAAGACAAAAAGAATGCAGATGTAATATATACAGACTTTGCAAAAGCCTTCGACAAGTGTGACCATGGCGTAATAGCGCACAAAATGCGTGCTAAAGGAATAACAGGAAAAGTCGGTCGATGGATCTATAATTTCCTCACTAACAGAACACAGAGAGTAGTCGTCAACAGAGTAAAGTCCGAGGCAGCTACGGTGAAAAGCTCTGTTCCACAAGGCACAGTACTCGCTCCCATCTTGTTCCTCATCCTTATATCCGACATAGACAAGGATGTCAGCCACAGCACCGTGTCTTCCTTTGCAGATGACACCCGAATCTGCATGACAGTGTCTTCCATTGCAGACACTGCAAAGCTCCAGGCAGACATCAACCAAATCTTTCAGTGGGCTGCAGAAAACAATATGAATTCAACGATGAGAAATTTCAATTACTCAGATATGATAAACATGAGGAAATTAAATCTTCATCAGAGTACAAAACAAATTCTGGCCACAAAATAGAGCGAAACACCAACGTCAAAGACCTGGGAGTGATCATGTCGGAGGATCTCACCCTTTAAGGACCATAACATTGTATCAATCGCATCTGCTAGAAAAATGACAGGATGGATAATGAGAACCTTCAAAACTAGGGAGGCCAAGCCCATGATGACACTCTTTCAGGTCACTTGTTCTATCTAGGCTGGAATATTGCTGCACACTAAACAGCACCTTTCAAGGCAGGTGAAATTGCCGACCTAGAAAATGTACAGAGAACTTTCACGGCGCGCATAACGGAGATAAAACACCTCAATTATTGGGAGCGCTTGAGGTTCCTAAACCTGTATTCCCTGGAACGCAGGAGGGAGAGATACATGATTATATACACCTGGAAAATCCTAGAGGGACTAGTACCGAACTTGCACACGAAAATCACTCATTACGAAAGCAAAAGACTTGGCAGACGATGCACCATCCCCCCAATGAAAAGCAGGGGTGTCACTAGCACGTTAAGAGACCATACAATAAGTGTCAGGGGCCCGAGACTGTTCAACTGCCTCCCAGCACACATAAGGGGGATTACCAACAGACCCCTGGCAGTCTTCAAGCTGGCACTGGACAAGCACCTAAAGTCAGTTCCGGATCAGCCGGGCTGTGGCTCGTATGTTGGTTTGCGTGCAGCCAGCAGCAACAGCCTGGTTGATCAGGCTCTGATCCACCAGGAGGCCTGGTCTCAGACCGGGCCGCGGGGGCGTTGACCCCCGGAACTCTCTCCAGGTAAACTCCAGGTAAACTCTAATGGTTACCCAACCTATCGGTATGAGTGACGGAATGACCAATCTACTTCCACTAGTGAACCCTACCCACATGTGGTCTCTCAACCGCATCATCTCGCCTCTTTCTAGTATGTCTTTATCCTCGTACAATTTCTTTGGTGTTCATCAAGACGGAAGGGCAGAACACCTTCTTTCAAGGCTGAGAGACTGATCTCCTCAGGTTACTTCACGTCTTTACCGTTCAGTAATTATTCTCTATATCGAGGTGATAAAGCCATCGGTAGTCAAAACTTCTCACCAGTAAGATACTCAGGTACTGCACATATGTCTTATTCATATATTTGTCAGTTTTTGTATACCGTTGATATATTAATAATTAAATATTGGGAATAATAAAGCATTTGAGATGTGACTTGATAGATCAAGCTTGTAATGCGGATCTTGAGTGCGACCCATCATGATTTACAGTGTTACCAATGTCTCAGAAGGTAGTGCCAGATTAATATTTATTATTAGTTTTATTCATCTTTTGTATTTTAATATGAGTAATGGATAAAGTACAAGCAAACATACACAGAAAATAAAATAGAAGGCGAGAGAAGTGCTACATTATTCTTACCTTCTACTATATTTTCTTCATGTGGCTAGCTTTTACCACTGGCAAGTGATTATTTTGTATTTGAACTGATGCATAAAATTAAAATTAAATAATAAAGCATTATTATTAATTAACCATTAAAATTAATTTGTTATCATTAGTAGGATAAGGTCGGGCATGTTTTGAAAATGTTACATTCACATTAAATAACCTGAATATATTAAAGTCTCTATTCAACCATTAAAAGGGTATTAAAAAGAGGCACTAAATGCCTGGAGACTCCTTGAGTTACAATAGTTTATATGCAAGTTGAGGAGAGTTAGAAGGTTGAGGTTGATGTGGCATCAGTGAGTAGGTTCCCTTGTTGTGGACGAAACTCTGATGAGCAATTTCCGGAGATGACTTTCCTTGCATTTCATTTACAATCACTTAGATAGTAGGTAAAATGGAGAGGAATAAATCTCAAATAATCGTAAGTACTTGGAAATCAGCGTAAAGTATTGTAAGCGCCCGTAATTTGATTTCTTAAGATTTTATTTAGCCATTTCCGTTCAATATGGCGGCGGAGGGCTTCCTGTTTATATTTTGATCCTCCCTCCCCCTCCCCGGAGCTCTCACAGGCATGATCACACATTCACCTCACACCACTTTATCATCTTAAAACCTTGATTGATGGGGACTGTATGAAACGTGTTTCATCTTGGGGTCCAGTAGCTACATCCTTGAGGGTTTACCGCTGTTGTTTATTAAAAGATAATTTGTGTATCTTGATCCTTAAATAGTATTGGTTTTGACAGTAGACAGGTTCAAGATAAAGCAGATGAGCCTTATTTACCTTCGATGTATATTGTTTTAGGTATTTATACATTAGTTGCAATAAACAGTTGTTAAAGGCATATACTGATATAAGTATATTTAACCATGGATAGTTTCAGAAACTCAATGTAACTTATTAACGCTGGTTTCTTCGAGTGACAGAAAGGTATGCAGGCCATATCTATATCATATTTTCAACAGACCACATAAGTATAATACTAGAAGCAAATTTTTTAATTTTCCTTGGTGGTGTACAACTAATGTAAATACTACTACATGCAGATCAAAGAACCCAAAATTGGAAACAGCCTAACAATAGGCTAAAAAAGGTCATGTCTCCCATTAACTTCAAAAACATGAAACATGATTAAAAAAATCACGGTGAGGTCCAGGTTTGATTCCCAGCGAAGCATTGGAAATGTTGGACGTATTTCCTTACACCAGTTGTCTCTGTTCATCCATCAGTAAAATGGGTACCTGGGTGTTAGTTGACTGGTGTGGGTCGCATCCCGAGACAAAACTGACCTAATTTGCCTGAAATGCTCTGCATAACAAGCGGCTTTCTATATAGATATCATTTCATCACCCAAAATTGAACAGTTAAACCATACTCAGTACCTACCAGTTACTCAAAAGCTATTTAAAAAACTTCTAAATAATTTAAGACTCCTCAACTTAACCTTAATTCAACTTCATTACTGTATATTGTGCTAAGGATTGCTCAGCCAAAAACTCATTACTTCAAAATTAGATGCTTAAATTTCATTGTATAAAATAATACTAAATTTTAATAATTTCATATTGTAAATTGTTTTAAGTTGTTCTAAATTGCACCAAATTGTAATATGTAATTTCATATCATAAGTTGTTTTTAAATTGTTCCATTGTAATATTTCCACATTGTAAAATAATTCAAATTGTACCATTGTTTGTAATAATTATTGTACTCACTGTAACTTTACAAATGTCCATATATGTATTTGTTATTGGCTTACTAATCTTAAGTTATTGTTAAGTTTGCGATGTGCTAAAATATAATACTGTAACAACTGCTGTTGATACAATAAATATATACAAAATCAATGTTCAGTTCGAACCAGCTATGATATATATGTGTAGTATTAAGTATAGTCTGTAATGTTTTAGGTTTAGTCTGCCCGAAATGCCTTGACATGATAGTGGCTTTCTTTGCACTTGCAAATCAACATTGTAATTAAACATTGTAAACTATGCATGGAAATAGACTCCTTATAACATGTCAGTCACACATTGTAAACTTTGCAAAGAAATAAAAATTTGAATTTTGAATTTGAATTTGATTAGTAGTACACATGTCATTGATGTCGGCTAGGCCTGTATACCTTGTACTTGTAGTAAATTAAGATATTATTATTATATTTTTATTACATTATTATTATTATATGGATGGTTGATTCACTTTTATATGTAATGCAGTTTGCATTACACATGCTTCACCTTGAAGGATATCTAAAATTTCCACTTCAGTGTCAAGGATTTGCATTTATTATTCTTGGCACCTCTAGCATTACTAGTATTCTTAGGTACTATGATTAATATCCACAGATGGGATGAGATTATGAAAATATCTAAAATCGAAAAATAAACACTGGATGAGTAAGGCTCACATTACTTCCAGAAAACAACTGTATGCTCATGGAGTGTACTATCAATGGGTTTTTCACACAGCATACAGTTTTACATGTACATGTATGGTTATCGTCCGGTGCAGAAATTGTACAATTCGGATTTTGAGCACTTTTTTTTGGCGAAATTTTCCCTTGGTGGGGTTTGTACATCCGCTCGGAAATTATCCGTATCAGGTGCGTCCACCCGCCTGGGATGCTGCTGCTCGTGTACCAGACTGAGTCTGCCTCTGTCTCTCGTTGAGTTAGCAATACTCCGTGCTTTCATCCATTGTTTTTTGTGCTTGTTTATTGATTGCGACTGTGAAATAAGCCACCATGGGGCCAAAGAAAGTTCAGAGTGCCAGCCCTTTGGTAAAGAAGGTGAGAAACATGATAGAATTCAAGAAAGAACTCGTAGAATGAGTTGCAAAGTTTTGTGGAGAAATATCACTACCACCCTCTACAGAGGTAGAGGGTGGTAGTGATTGTGGTAGAGGGTGGTAGTGATTGTGGTAGAGAGTGGTAGTGATTGTGGTAGAGAGTGGTAGTGATTGTGGTAGAGGGTGGTAGTGATTGTGGTAGAGGGTGGTAGTGATTGTGGTAGAGGGTGGTAGTGATGGTGGTAGAGGGTGCTAGTGATGGCAAACAATCAAAGATGTTGAGAAGTTGTTGGTGTGGATCAGTGAAAAACAGTTAACGGGAGATAGTGTTGTGGAGGCGATAATTTGCGAGAAGGCAAGGCAGTTGCATGCTTATCTTGTAAAGAATATGCCAACAAGAGTCTTCAATAAAGGTAAAACTGATTTAACTCTTCATTTATCCATTAAAATTAGTGCTTTATATTTATTTCTCATTGTTTCTATATGTAAAACTATAGTTATTCTCCATAAATTGTTTTTTTGTTAATATTTTTGGGTGTCTGGAGCAGATTAATTAGATTTACATTATTTCTTATGGGAAATATTACTTCGGTTTTTGTCCATTTCGGATTTCAGCCGACCTTCTGGAACGGATTAAGGATGAAAACCGGGGTATATTACTGTACTTTTTCATTTGTGTTTCAATACAGTATGCATTACTTTATCAGAGGGCTTATTGTACATTATTTAGCAAAACTTGAAGATGAATTAGATAAACATTAAGTTTAGCTAAATGACCAATAACTAATTAACCCTTTCAGGGTCGACAGGCCCTCACCGAGACTTGTTCTCAGGGTCGACAAATTCCCCCCCCCCCCAAAAAAAAAAAAATTTTTTTTCTTATGAAAAGATAGAGAATCTTTTCCCGATCATAATGACACCAAAAGTATGAAATTTGATGGAAAACTTACGGAATTATGCTCTCGCGAAGTTAGCAGTTTCGATGATGTTTACGCATCGGCGATTTTGCCCACTTTGAGCCCTATTTTCGGCCAATTCCAGTGTACTAGTCAACAAAAATCATAACTATTTCACTAGACCTCCATTTTTTCTATCAAATGAGTACAAGAAACCACCCATTTACCAATTTCAACTATCCAATAAAGTGGTAAGAATTTAGCAATTTTGCCAATTTCACACAAATTTCAAAAGATGCTAATTTCTAAATAGGGTCCAGAATAAACAAAGACATTCCTGGCACTAAAATAACATTTCCTCTGTTCATTAGTCACGTTTCCACGCCCTCTTACATTCTTTTGCTTTCCACTTGAATTTTTATTCTCACAAAAAATAGAAGATTTACTGTTATGCAGACTACTGCATTAGTGTAGAAGTGTTATAAACAATATCAGCGCACTTGTGAAAGAATATTACTCGCCAGTTGACGTGTATTGGACGCGTAGCATGATTTGTTTACTTTTGAACTTTGGCCAAAATCGAAGATTTCTGCTACTTTGAGCTCAATTTCAAGGTACTTTTCATTGTAAAACCAATCAAAATCATCTCAATTTCTGTAATATGTTTTCCATTCTATAAAATGAGACCAGGAAAACTAGAATACCATCATAAATACCATACGAAAATACAGTGCAAAGTTGCTGTTTTAAACCAAAAACACAAAGTTTTTTTTTTTCATTACGCACTGCGTGCTGGATTTTTTTTTATACTGCGCACACTGACCACATAGACCCATTCTTTTATATGTAGGCCTACCAGCTTTCTCTAACTAGATTTGAGGGCGCTAGAATTAAGGCGTACAAATACGTCAAAAACCCTGGTGTGTAAGCCGTACTAGTACATCAGAAACCCTGAAAGGGTTAATGGTTGTACAGGTACTATATAGATATATGTATAAAATAAGTTTTCATCAATAACATATTTTTCAAAGGGCTTTATAATTAGTTATTTAGAAAATTTTATATGTAGATGTAATTAACAACATGCTACTTTTTTTTTTTTAGCTTCTAGATAAAAATGGGCTTGAGACAGTGGCCAAAGCACTCTCCTCTGGGTGTTGGACCCTTAGTGAATCAGGAAATTTTGAAATATCAGGTTTTTTTGGAACATCTAATGTCCGTGGGAATGCCCCTCAGTTGACCCTAGCACAAGGAAATGTGCGCCCAGTCACTCAGGTTTCAGGTATGTATGGCAAATTTACTGTACAGGTTTCCTTTGCTTTGTGCAAGATTTTAATACAATGTATGAATTTGCATATATGTAATGACCTTGCCTGAAGTAATAATTTCCTTTGTGAGTTTTATACAACACAAGTGCAGGGAGATCCTAGCACTTTGTATGATGCTTTAATTTTTCCTCTTGCTATAAGTGGTTGTTTAACATAAATGATAGACAAAAAAACATTTAATATTAGCTGGAGACTTCAATATCAACCTCCTCCAATCCAAAGACCACAAGTAGCTAGTCTCATCAACATGTACAGTTGCAAATTAATAGCATCAGTAACTAAACCTATGAGAATTACCAAGACTACATTGTTTGGATTTTTTTTTATGCTTATATTACCTACCTGGAAGACTCTAAGTAGGAGGATGTTCTGGAGGTCAATGTCCCCATGACCCAGTCCTTGACCAGGCCTTCTGGTGGATCAGGGCCTGATCAACCAGGCTATTACTTCTGACTGCACATAGTCCAACTTATGAACCACAGCCTGGCTGATCAAGTACTGACTTTAAGTGTCTGTGCTCTCTCTCTCTCTTGAAGGCAGCCAGGGGTCTATAGACCCAGTACAAGATATTAACATGAATTGTACAATACAAAAATTACCTACTATATATATATATATATTCCTTATCTGGATGCCTGCACTAGTATTAAATAGTTAATAAGTACTGTATTGTACTAGATTTAGTCTGCCTGAACTGCTTCACATAATAAGAGGATTTCCTTAGAATGTATAAAAAGATGTAATGACAAAACTAAATCTACACCTTGTAATTTTTAGAAATAAAATTTGATTTGATTTGATATGCAAATTCTTCTTTTTGTAGGTAGTAGGTTGGTAGACAGCAACCACCCAGGGAAGTACTACCGTCCTGCCAGATGACTGTGAAACAGAAACCTGTAACTGTTTTGCATGATGGTAGGATTGCTGGTTTCTTTTTCTGTCTCATAAACACGCTAGATAACAGGGATATCTTGCTACTCCTACTTACACTTTGGTCACACTTCACAGACACGCACATGCATATATATATACATACATCTAGGTTTTTCTCCTTTTTCTAAATAGCTCTTGTTCCTCTTTATTTCTTCTATTGTCCATGGGGAAGTGGAAAAGAATCTTTCCTCCGTAAGCCATGCGTGTCGTATGAGGCAACTAAATGCCGGGAGCAATGGGCTAGTAACCCCTTCTCCTGTAGACATTTACTAAAAAAGAGAAGAAGAAAAACTTTATAAAACTGGGATGCTTAAATGTGCGTGGATGTAGTGCGGATGACAAGAAACAGATGATTGCTGATGTTATGAATGAAAAGAAGTTGGATGTCCTGGCCCTAAGCGAAACAAAGCTGAAGGGGTAGGGGAGTTTCGGTGGGGGGAAATAAATGGGATTAAATCTGGAGTATCTGAGAGAGTTAGAGCAAAGGAAGGGGTAGCAGTAATGTTGAAGGATCAGTTATGGAAGGAGAAAAGAGAATATGAATGTGTAAATTCAAGAATTATGTGGATTAAAGTAAAGGTTGGATGCGAAAAGTGGGTCATAATAAGTGTGTATGCACCTGGAGAAGAGAGGAATGTAGAGGAGAGAGAGAGATTTTGGGAGATGTTAAGTGAATGTATAGGAACCTTTGAACCAAGTGAGAGAGTAATTGTGGTAGGGGGCCTGAATGCTAAAGTAGGAGAAACTTTTAGAGAGGGTGTGGTAGGTAAGTTTGGGGTGCCAGGTGTAAATGATAATGGGAGCCCTTTGATTGAACTTTGTATTGAAAGGGGTTTAGTTATAGGTAATACATATTTTAAGAAAAAGAGGATAAATAAGTATACAAGATATGATATAGGGCGAAATGACAGTAGTTTGTTGGATTATGTATTGGTAGATAAAAGACTGTTGAGTAGACTTCAGGATGTACATGTTTATAGAGGGGCCACAGATATATCAGATCACTTTTTAGTTGTAGCTACACTGAGAGTAAAAGGTAGATGGGATACAAGGAGAGTAGAAGCATCAGGGAAGAGAGAGGTAAAGGTTTATAAACTAGAAGAGGAGGCAGTTAGGGTAAGATATAAACAGCTATTGGAGGATAAATGGGCTCATGAGAGCATAGGCAATGGGGTCGAAGTGGTATGGGGTAGGTTTAAAAATGTAGTGTTAGTGTTCAGCAGAAGTTTGTGGTTACAGGAAAGTGGGTGCGGGAGGGAAGAGGAGCGATTGGTGAAATGATGATGTAAAGAGAGTAGTAAGGGAGAAAAAGTTAGCATATGAGAAGTTTTTACAAAGTAGAAGTGATGCAAGGAGGGAAGAGCATATGGAGAAAAAGAGAGAGGTTAAGAGAGTGGTGAAGCAATGTAAAAAGAGAGCAAATGAGAGAGTGGGTGAGATGTTATCAACAAATTTTGTTGAAAATAAGAAATAGTTTTGGAGTGAGATTAACAAGTTAAGGAAGCCTAGAGAACAAATGGATTTGTCAGTTAAAAATAGGAGAGGAGAGTTATTAAATGGAGAGTTAGAGGTATTGGGAAGATGAAGGGAATATTTTGAGGAATTGTTAAATGTTGATGAAGATAGGGAAGCTGTGATTTTGTGTATAGGGCAAGGAGGAATAACATCTTGTAGGAGTGAGGAAGAGCCAGTTGTGAGTGGGGGGGAAGTTCGTGAGGCAGTAGGTAAAATGAAAGGGGGTAAGGCAGCCGGGATTGATGGGATAAAGATAGAAATGTTAAAAGCAGGTGGGGATATAGTTTTGGAGTGGTTGGTGCTTTTATTTAATAAATGTATGGAAGAGGGTAAGGGACCTAGGGATTGGTAGAGAGCATGCATAGTTCCTTTGTATAAAGGCAAAGGGGACAAAAGATAGTGCAAAAATTATAGGGGGGATAAGTCTGTTGAGTATACCTGGTAAAGTGTATGGTAGAGTTCTTATTGAAAGAATTAAGAGTAAGACAGAGAATAGGATAGCAGATGAACAAGGAGGCTTTAGGAAAGGTAGGGGGTGTGTGGACCAGGTGTTTACAGTGAAACATATAAGTGAACAGTATTTAGATAAGGCTAAAAAGGTTTTTGTGGCATTTATGGATTTCGAAAAGGCGTATGACAGGGCGTATAGGGGGGGCAATGTGGCAGATGTTACAGGTGTATGGTGTAGGAGGTAGGTTACTGAAAGTAGTGAAAAGTTTTTATGAGGATAGCGAGACTCAAGTTAGAGTGTAGGAAAGAGGGAGATTATTTCCCAGTAAAAGTAGGCCTTAGACAGGGATGTGTGATGTCACCGTGGTTTTTTTTTTTTTTTTTTTTTTTTTTTTGTATTATCACACTGGCCGATTCCCACCAAGGCAGGGTGGCCTGAAAATGAAAAACTTTCACCATCATTCACTCCATCACTGTCTTGCCAGAAGGGTGCTTTACACTACAGTTTTTAAACTGCAACATTAACACCCCTCCTTCAGAGTGCAGGCACTGTACTTCCCATCTCCAGGACTCAAGTCCGGCCTGCAGGTTTCCCTGAACCCCTTCATAAATGTTACTTTGCTCACACTCCAACAGCACGTCAAGTATTAAAAACCATTCGTCTCCATTCACTCCTATCAAACACGCTCACGCATGCCTGCTGGAAGTCCAAGCCCCTCGCACATAAAACCTCCTTTACCCCCTCTCTCCAACCTTTCCTAGGCCGACCCCTACCCCGCCTTCCTTCCACTACAGACTGATAACTCTTGAAGTCATTCTGTTTCGCTCCATTCTCTCTACATGTCCGAACCACCTCAACAACCCTTCCTCAGCCCTCTGGACAACAGTTTTGGTAATCCCGCACCTCCTCCTAACTTCCAAACTACGAATTCTCTGCATTATATTCACACCACACATTGCCCTCAGACATGACATCTCAACTGCCTCCAGCCTTCTCCTCGCTGCAACATTCATCACCCATGCTTCACACCCATATAAGAGCGTTGGTAAAACTATACTCTCATACATTCCCCTCTTTGCCTCCAAGGACAAAGTTCTTTGTCTCCACAGACTCCTAAGTGCACCACTCACCGTGGTTGTTTAATATATTTATAGATGGGGTTGTAAGAGAAGTAAATGCGAGGGTCTTGGCAAGAGGCGTGGAGTTAAAAGATAAAGAATCACACATAAAGTGGGAGTTGTCACAGTTGCTCTTCGCTGATGACACTGTGCTCTTGGGAGATTCTGAAGAGAAGTTGCAGAGATTGGTGGATGAATTTGTTAGGATGTGCAAAAGAAGAAAATTAAAAGTGAATACAGGAAAGAGTAAGGTTATGAGGATAACAAAAAGATTAGGTGATGAAAGATTGGATATCAGATTGGAGGGAGAGAGTATGGAGGAGGTGAATGTATTCAGATATTTGGGAGTGGACGTGTCAGCGGATGGGTCTATGAAAGATGAGGTGAATCATAGAATTGATGAGGGGAAAAGGGTGAGCAGTGCACTTAGGAGTCTGTGGAGACAAAGAACTTTGTCCTTGGAGGCAAAGAGGGGAATGTATGAGAGTATAGTTTTACCAAAGCTCTTATATGGGTGTGAAGCATGGGTAATGAATGTTGCAGCGAGGAGAAGGCTGGAGGCAGTGGAGATGTCATGTCTGAGGGCAGTGTGTGGTGTGAATATAATGCAGAGAATTCGTAGTTTGGAAGTTAGGAGGAGGTGCGGGATTACCAAAACTGTTGTCCAGAGGGCTGAGGAAGGGTTGTTGAGGTGGTTCGGACATGTAGAGAGAATGGAGCGAAACAGAATAACTTCAAGTATGTATCAGTCTGTAGTGGAAGGAAGGCGGGGTAGGGGTCAGCCTAGGAAAGGTTGGAGGGAGGGGGTAAAGGAGGTTTTGTGTGCGAGGGGCTTGGACTTTCAGCAGGCATGCATTAGCGTGTTTGATAGGAGTGAATGGAGACAAATGGTTTTTAATACTTGACGTGCTGTTGGAGTGTGAGCAAAGTAACATTT